CGCCGACTACTCAAGAAAGTCAGGGGCTTGAGACAAAGGATGTACTGCCCTTGTCGCCAAAGAAGGTCAATCAAATTGCCAAGAGTGACCCAATAATTTCGGAGGATGAGCTTGCCGGCGAGAAAACGCCCATCAGAGCTCTTAGCAAGTCTCCCGCCAAACGAATTATGAGTCCAGTCAAAGACTTCGGTAGCGTCTCCAAGTTGAACTTTGCCCAAGACACCGCGCCATCATCACCGTTGAAGCCTACGTCGTCGAGCATATTTGCAAGCCCAGCTCGGCGACCGCCAACGTCACCATTCAAGGACGCGCTCAAGAGTTCTCCTAAGAGAGTGCAACTTGGAGACCCCATAGCTCAGCCCGTGCTTTTGTCATCGCGTACTCCCATGAAAGCCTCATTTCTGCAAGAATCGCCAAGAAGAGGAACTCTTCGAGACAACATGACACAGCCAATACTTCTCCCTTCCAAGTCACCGTTCAAAATATCATTGCTGCAAGAATCGCCAAAGAGAGTGAGAATGGAAGAAAAGACAACGCAGCCCATACTTGTCCCTTCCAAATCGCCGTTCAAGGCTTCGTTGCTGCAATCTCCTGCGCGCCGCCCAACAGCTTCACCTACGAAGTCAACAGGGCTTGGCTCGCCAGTCAAGTCTAGTATGAAAGCAGCGGCATTGCACGCCGCCATCACCTCCAGACAAAGCAGTCCCTCGAAGGCTCCAAGCCTTTCACCGGAGAAGGTCGTTAGCAGTCCCTTCCGAGCAGCCAGGTCTCCGGAGCAGACTGTCAAGGTTCATACTATCACGGACGAAGAACGCGAGGTGGACGCAGAAGAGGACGATTTCCCAGAATTTCACTCTGAAAGCCCAATCATAGACGTTGCCGCTGAAGCCGAGTCACCCTTGCGAACTACAGCGGCCACCTTTGAGGAGCCGGTATCTTTTGACGATACCATCATGATCGACCAATCCGAACCCGTCGCTCGCAGCGATGACATTTCAGAGAGCTCAAAGCCCGCAGAAACTCCTACGGTATTCAAGGGTCCAGCCTTCTGGCTTGCTTCGGCCGCCTTAAGGAGAGTTTCCATCGAGTCTGGGTCTGAAGATGAGCTTGCGTCTCCAGACAAGGGATACGGATTCACCCCACTGCGCAGTCATGGAGTCTCCGCAGAGGACTTTGGCACTCCTGCAGTCCTTGATGGCCAGGACTCGGATATCTCTGAAGACCAACTATCCTTTACCCCACTGGCGGATCAACTGAGTTCGTGGGCTGCATCTAGCCCCAACAAACAGAACGCGACAAGCCGTCCTCGTCAGACCCGCGGAATGTTCTCACTTGGAGGTGTGAGTATGATCGTAGCTCCGGAGCAAACAATCAGTGACATTCCAACGGGATCTCCTGCAAAATCTTCGTTCTTTGAAGATGAGATGGTAATGCGTGATGGCGAAGAAGACGTTGAAGACACTTCATTCGCGGAAATGGACGTGGGCAATGAACATGATATTGCGGCCTTGCAGGTTAGCCAAGAGTCGCAAACATCAGAAGAGTACGGAGATGAAAATGCAGTGCCATCGGGTGCTGAAAGACTGCGGGCAGAGCAGGATCATACTTTGACTTGCACCCCAGCAAAAGTGTTCACACCTGCCAAGAAGATCTCTCAACAACCTCGAGAGATCCACACAGTCTCAAAGGTACCTCTGCGCGCTTCAGCTGAAGATACTCCTCTCATAGTGACTCGCCAACGAAGTCGATCGTTTGGAGGTCCTTTGTCAGTGGTCAGCGAGCCTCATCATGCCAGGTTGAAGCAATCCGAGATACCCGACAATGCCGAGAACGAGCATGTGACCCTCGATCGACCAGCTACGCCAGTGCTGGCAGCGACCACCATTCCCCAAACGCCTGGCAGTGCTATGAGGCTCGATGCTGAGACTCCTGGGCGAACTGCGCGGAAAGGGGTTATTCCAGACGTTCTTCAGGGCGCGGTTGTCTTTGTTGATGTGCACACATCTGAGGGCGCAGACGCCAGTGGGATCTTCGTTGACCTTCTGACCCAAATGGGTGCTCGCTGCGTCAAGCAATGGTCATGGAATCCAAGAGCAAGCATGGGCAGCTCTCTCAACAGCACCACTCCCGAGGCAGCTTCGCCAGACACCACCAAAGTTGGTATTACCCACGTCGTCTACAAGGATGGTGGGAAGCGGACTTTGGAAAAGATTCGGAGCAGCAACGGAGTAGTCTTGTGCGTCGGGGTTGGCTGGGTCTTAGAGTAAGTCAAACGATTCACCCAAAAGCACCATGCTCTTGTTAACACTACTAGCTGCGAGCGTGAGGACAAATGGCTCAACGAAGCAGACTATGCCATCGACACATCCATGATCCCTCGTGGTGGCTCTCGCCGTCGCAAATCAATGGAACCGCGAGCGCTTGCCAACATGAACGGCAATCTGATCACTGCTAGCATTGAAACACCAGCCAAGATCTCCTCAGAAAACGAGATATCACCTACGACAGAATTCCTCACCTTCGATACTCCGGCTTCTCGCAGAGACACATTCATCATCGAACGGCAAATAGCGCGAGAAGAGGAGCCAACGGTAGCGCCGGCAACTCCCATCGCGGCCTCGGCGCAGGACGATATGCTCGAAGACGGCTCTACATGGGGCTCGCCTACCACACCATACTACCTATCCAAGGGCGCAGAGTTGGTGCAGCGCACGTGCCCGCCAAAGCAGATGGGGTTTCCTGTCAACGGGGAAATTGATGATCAGCCGGATGAGACGGTTCGAAGGAGGCTGCTGGAAGCGAGAAGGAAGAGTATGCAGTGGGCTTCACGAATCAGAAGTCCGCTGGGAAGAACAGTCAGCTATGGGAAATGACTGAGCGCATGTTTGTTGTGTTGTTCTGATTGAGAAAGAAGTAATGTATAAGGCGAGAAATCCGTGTAAAAGGTTAGAAAGTGACTGCAACGATATTGGAAGCAAATACATTGAATCCAATTCCAGGTCAGGTTGTCGAGGTTCCCGTGGCAGAAGAATTGCAATAGTACGGCTCCGTGATATTATCATGTCACAGGGAAGAGACCTTTTCGTTAGTTGAAGAATAATATAACTATCAATAAGCCATGATTACCTGCCCTTCGGGGATATGGTATTAAATCTCGTTGGAGCTTTCGTAGGTAACCAGAAGTTGAAGCTTTCAGACTGAGGTTTTTGCTCCACGAGGTTCGATAAGTTCATGTATTCTTTTTTCTCTTACTTTTACATTTGCTAAAAGGTGCTTGCGAAAGCACACCTACTCAGCAGACTATTACTAGCTTCACAAGCCTATTCTACTCTCGATTTCAGTCCGATATCGAGATCTTCAAGACAGAGATACCACAGCCACCAGAGCTACCGAAGCAGCCTACTCCAGAGCTACCAGAGCAGTCACCACAGCTATCAGAGCAACCAGCCATACCAGAGCAGTCAGTCGTACCAAAGCAGCCTGTCGTACCAGAGCGGCCTATTGTATCACTACCAGCCATGTCAGCGCAATCAGTCCTCTCACAGCCATCAGTCGTATCACAGCCCACTGCGGAGCCTCGTATCGGTATGAATCGAGACCATTGGTTCACTTCACACACCTCCCTCAGCAATCCTGTGGTGTCACGACTACACATCTACGCTTCAAGATCAAGGGCTTACTAAGACGTTCCTCTGCTCTACACTACTGGGCCTGGTTTGCCGTGGGGGTTGGCTAGCTTGATGTGCTATGAAAGGGGTCCTCTGATGCTCGCTGAAGGCTTCAGTGCATTGCGTCAGGTCGCGGGGGCTCTGTTTTATTATTTGGTAGTAGTTGGAAGGTGCTTCTTACCAGGTCTAGACACATATCACTGCGCTTGGCTGAGGGGATATCTTGCTGCAGCTTCCACAGACAACCAATCCCTCCAACACGCTACGAACACTGTTCCTTGTCCCACCCCGTTACTCTGGAGGGTTGATTTACAGTTCATAAGGAAACTTACAAACAGGCGTTGCAAAGACTGATCCTGTGACTTTGGGACAAGGTTGGTTCAGTTGCACAGCTACTTGGGCATGTGTAGCCGCCCTGCATCTGGCCTCGAGTTCAGGTCATAAAACTCTTCCGATTTACTTTGCCATTCCACGTGTCTGATGAGGACTATCTAAAGTATGCCTTCATATCTTTGTTGCCCTGCGTCTACGTACAACTACTAGCCACTGCCCGGGTACGAATGTTCCGATCTGGTACAGCATCAACTTCTGGATACCAGAGGAATTTGATCTTGATCAATGTTGATGCTCTACTCTTCGTTATCCTTTTCAATTCTTCATATACAAGTAGACGTAGACATTGCCTATACAGCGGACCGACTAAGTAGGGTCCGGCAATTGTGCCACGGCCACCCGATGGATCATGAGCGATACTGAGGATTGAGTGCCTAAATTAGTCCCGGGAATAGTAGGCAACCAGCGTCCCACCGCGGAGCTGCAGTCCGGATGCGGTTAGCGTATCATTCCAGCAAAAAACCGAATGCGCTACTTGCAGAGATTTTGACGAATCGGAGCTCAAAGCTTTTGATTCCGACGCTAGCCTTGGTGGTTGCCGGCGCTACCGGGAATTTCTTCTACCACCATACTTAACTTCTCTTTTTTTCAACTCACTTCCTTCTTCAACAACGCACTTCCCTTCCATCACTCACACCCTTCATCCATCACTCACATCCTTTATCCATCACCCACATCCTTCTTCCATCATCCACACTTCTACCACAACACAGTGCTTGTCTACCACAGTCGATTACCGGATTTCACTTGCTTTTACAAGCATTTTAACTCTCACATCAGTGAAAGATTTTCCAACACCGCAGGAATCTCGGGGTTTTTTTGTACTTTCTGTGCCTTGGTGCTGATTCAGCTCTCAAGCGCAAGCATCGCGTCAGCGATGGCGAGAAAGAAGGCTCACGCAGTCTTGCTGCCTCGCGGTGGCGTTTCTAACGCGCAAAAATGCACGTTCAGACTTGTCTGCCTCAGCAGGACCTCTATCGGCCTTCTACTTCACCGAGTCTGGTGTTGAGTGCTTTCTGGATCATTGTACCATCAGATCCGCTCAACGCCGCAAAAAGACGGCTTCGAACAGTGGTTCACAGCGAGCTTTCCCGTTCTAGTGAACAGGTTGCTCACGGCACGCTGCAACATCAGCTCAACGCCTCAAAAGGATGGCTTCGAACAGTGGTTCACAGCGAGCTTTACCGTTCGAATGAGCAGTTTGCTCAAGGCATGCTGCTATTGCAAAGAGCTGACTCTCTTGTGCTTCAAGATCGAGAATCTGGTATTACTGACGGTCACAGATTCCTTTCTTCGGCGGGACCGAGGCATAATAACGATCACCATATCGGAGACAAGAATTAGTCAGCTCGGCGCGACATCGCGCATTCGGCGCTGAGAAACCTGTGGGCGAAAGCAGGAGCGTATCAGACAATGTTGAAGACAAATGGTATACCTCAACGGGTCACCTTCAAAGTGACAATGACATTCAAGCAGCTCTATCGAGCAAGAATGTGCGACCAATGCCCAAATCTCTGACTGCCAGCAACATTGCGGATGAGACGGTCATCCTGCTAGTTCGCATGCTCCCTGACCTCCACCAGCTCCTGGAGCCTACGAAGGCCCTTGAACCTTCTGGTCCCTGCCCTTGATCTCTGCTTCGCATCCTCCCAGCGTCCTTCGCTGCGGGAGCTGGCCTCAGTGCTACCGATCCCACCATGGAATTCTGTCATGTGCTGCCTTCAATATTAAAAGATACATCGCCATCTTCTCTTTGTCCCCCAAATGACCAGTAGGTCATGCTCTTACTAGAATTGCTGACTTATATATATAGATAATCTTTGCGCACTTGGTCGTGGTAGAGGGGCTACCCTATCCACGGGATAGCGGACTGTGCACACAGTTCGCCACGCAGATCGCAGTCTCGATCATTTCAGCTGGACTGAATGATGAGCCCACGCCGCCATCGGCGCCATGGCGAAAGACTTTCTGGACCGCAAGTTGGTATACCACGATTTTACTACTCTAGATACCAACCCAGTTGGCGAAAAGACGCGTGCGACCTGGAACGAGGCCAGACTCAGCGCTGATCACTACCGGCCTCTCAACTGGTTGCCTACACTTGTAGGTAACAATCACACGTGGCTAGTTTACTAGCACCAGCTTCAACCACCGTAGGAATCTCGGGGGTTTTCCGTATCTCAGCTCTTGCCTACCTTGGTAGGTAAGACTCTTGCTTTCATTAGCAATCCACCACCGCAGGAATCTCGGGGGTTTATCAATTTCAATGTCTTCGTCGAGCAATCGATATGCTGTTTTGGGGGAAGCCTCCTCCAGCTCGAAAGAGCAGCAGCAAGACACAGCTCAACCAGGTCCTCCCGCCCAACGAGAGGGTCTGTCAATGGGGAGTCTCGAGAGTTCTCTCCCTCGTGTGCTTTCCAGAGAAGAAGGTCTGGCAGAGTACAAGAAACGGAGATTAGCATGGAAAGAGGAGCAGGCACAGGAAGACGAGAGAAAGAAGAGGCGACAGGTCACCTCATCGACGTTGGTGCCGAGGCTAATCCCCTCCGCAGCTCCAGAGTCAGATGACGGCATGGAGGTAGAAAAGGAATTCAACTGCCAGAACATCATCAACCTCGACAGACGTATCCGGTGCGTTTTCGGATACGAAGACGCAAAGGGAGACTTCACAGACCCCCTCGACAGCCTATGAGATGTTGAGAACAAGGGCTGGTCAGCTCACGTACAGGTTGAGGCCGGTCGATTTGGATCGCCAAGAGTATCCTTGATTGCTCGGATCAACAAGGGGACCTATCCACGGGATAGCGGACTGAGTACACGGTTCGTCACGCAGATCATCGTGTCTCGATCATTCCAGCTGGACTGGAATCATCCACGTGATAGCGGACTTTGTACACGGTTCGCCACGCAGAGAAAATGCTTCGTGACGCGACATTCTACGCGCCCGTGACCGCCATCCTTTCACAGTGGGCGAGTGCGGCATGCCGATGCAGACGGCTGGCTTTTGCAACTGCCGCAGAATATCCTGCAACCTTCTACATATAAAAATAATATATTCCCCGTCCTTGTCGCCTTCCCTCCCCCCCAAACTCCATACGAGACACAAGCCGCAGAGCCAACCACACACGACTTTGTTGAGGTTGACCTGCGAGTCTTACCCTCCGAACACCTGTCTCCGCGAACTCCTTCCAAACGCCGACGCTGCGGGAGTCCCCTCACGTCTTTGTTGAGGTTGATCTGCGAATCATACCCTCCGAACATGCCGCAGAGCCAACCACTCATGACTTTGTTGAGGTTGATCTGCGAATCATACCCTCCGAACACACGTCTTCGCGAGCTACTCCAAAACGCCAACGATGCGGGAGTCTGTTTAGACATTGAGGTTGATCTGCGAATCATACCCTCCGAACACACGTTCTCGCGAGCTACTCTAAAACGCCACAGCGCTCTTCGGCTTTCTAGCAAAGGCCCTTCAAGCTGAGCTCAACAAGGGCCCTACGAATACACTTTACTCGCGCACTCTCACCGTCCTTGCCGCACTTCTCCGAGTCCTGGAGTGCAATAATACTGCGTCTTTCTTAGAAGACCTCTGCTCCGTCGTTGACACCCTCCAAGCCTGCCTCGACGCACTATCGAACACTTTCCAAGGCACTTTGATGGAACAGGCCGCGTCACACCAAAGACGCGGCTTACAAAGTCCAGGTCGGGCAAGGAAGTCCCATAGTACACATCGAAAGGCAGGACCAGGAGAGAACGAAAAGGTCGCGACAGAGCAACTCATCGATACTTGTGGGACAACCAGACGACGTCATGAAGGTAGGGGATGACTACAACTGCCGGAATATCGTCAACCCTAAGAGGCGTATCCGGTGCGCTTTTAGCTACGAGCATGCAGATGGAACGGATGATTACTAGCAAGTTCTTCGCTCGGGGTACTTGTACGCGTGGGCAAGCCTGTACATACAGTCATGAAGTCGCGTCTTCTGCTCAGGAAATTGATTCCATGCCGCTTGGGCCAGAGAGTTGTTAAAAATGTAGTAGTCAGAGAGATGATCAGACAATAAATTCGTTTCTCCGTCATAGACCTGCGTGACATAAGTGACCTGCGTGACCTTCGCCCTTTCGAGTCCTAAGTAAGCAATGCTACCCTTGATCCTTTATCTACAGGTAAACTGCTGTTCATATGGGTTCACGTGAGCATCTGCGGGAGCCTGTCGCCCAGGTATAGCATGGACCAGAGCTACATACATCCGTCCAGCAACCGCCTTAGATAGTATACACTTGACGTGCCTCTTTCAAGATGAATACCCATACAATACACCAGTATGCTCTCTCTCGCCGCTCATTCATTTGAATACCTCGGGTGGAGTATCACGAGTAGGTTCTCAAGGCATACAGTAAGGGGCGAAAGAGGGCTAAATCCATTTCGTCGTATATCCTCGCGTCCCTTCCCATCCTCTTTTCAGCCATCATACGGTGATGAGCCACATGTCCCCAACTCCGCATGTCCCCCTCTTCTTTTCGCCCTTCCGATCGGAAACGTAGAGAGATATCCAAAGTGTTGTAGTGTTGGCTGCTTCTTGGAAAGAGCGGAGGTGTACGAAGGGGCTTCGGCAGACCCGATATCAGTAGGACGGTCGTCGTATTTGTTCGTTGAGTCGTTCGCTGAAGTCGGGATCGAAGGCGTTTTGAAGAGGTCGCGTTCGTACTCGAAGAGAGCCCAGCTCTCCAATCGGTGTACTGGGTTCGTCCTGTCAGAGTAAGTGGATGTCTCTTGACTCTACTGAACCCGTAGAACAGACAGCATTCGTAGCTGGCACCACGTACAGGCGGGCAGTGGTCTGTACAGCACTCGTTTAGATCTTGGCGGAGGTTCTAGTGGCTTGGCACCCACATTCACTCGCATCTTCTCGAAAAAAAATTGAAGTCACCACATCATCTCACTAAATACAAACACCATTGCATTCGCAATAACGCTGGCTCTCAGGCTTTGGGCAAGCGAGTTTCCACTCTTGTCATGAGGGAGGTTCTCCCTCTGTCATGAGGGAGGTTCTCCCTCCAATTTGAGGAAGTCCGCGAGGACAACCTCTTTTACCGCCGTAGAATACTCGGTCGGTCTATCCAACTTCGCTATGTCATCATTGTCAAGGCATAAGGCTAAACAGCCAAACCTACTGAAGGAAGTCCGCAAGGACAACCTCTTTTACCGCCGCAGAATACTCGGTCGGTCTATACAACTTCACCATGTCATCATTGACAAGGCATGTGGCTGAACAGCCAAACCTACTGGCAGGGAACTCCCTCCTATCTAAGGAAGTCCGCAAGGACAACCTCTTTTACCGCCGCAGAATACTCGGTCGGTCTATCCAACTTCGCCATGTCATCATTGACAAGGTATAGGGCTAAACAGCCAAACCTACTGGCAGGGACTCCCTCCAATCTAAGGAAGTCCGCAAGGACAACCTCTTTTACCGCCGCAGAATACTCGGTCGGTCTATACAACTTCACCATGTCATCATTGACAAGGCATGTGGCTAAACAGCCAAACCTACTGGCAGCCGACGCCGACTGGAGGCAGCAGTTGTCAGAAGTCATTCGAGAACTGAAAAAGAATATGCCAGGGATCAAACGGCTCTTGTTTGACTCAAAGGGCAACGATCACGACGCTGTGGTTCTTCGACAAGCTGATGGGTACACTCCACAAGCTTGAGGAACGTCAACTGGCTGCTGTGAACCAACTCGAGCAACACCAAGCAGCATGGAGTGCTGCCATCGTGTCTCGAGACGGTACGCTAGGAAAGCTTGATGCTCGGTTGCAGAAACTGAAGGACGAGGTCAAACAATCAGAAGGCACTGGAAGAGACCCAAGCGAATGAGCTCCGGATCAAAGAGACTCGCGTGACCGAGCAAAACCGACTCGAAGAGCTCAAGTCTCGGCTGTACAAGCAGAAAGAGGCCTTAGCCGGACAGGAGAGGGGGCTAGGCAATCGGGAAGCAAGACATACGTCAAGAGTCACTGCCTTTGATGCAGAAGAGCATGGCAGGAGACAAAAGCTGGAAAGCCGGGAGAGGGACTTTGAATCTACTCGGATATCGACAGAGACCAACCTCGCGGAACAGAGGGAAGATTTGGACACTCGCTTTGGTGAGTTCTATGGTAAAGAGAACGCTGTTGCGAATGCAGAAGCGAAGCTGCAACAGGCGAAGAGCAGGAATGACATAGAAAGCCAAAGTTTTCGAGGTGCGCTTTCGAGTGCGCTTTCCTTTCTACAGAGCCTTGCTAACGCAACGGGTAGTGGATACGATGCCGACCACAGACTCGATAACGTCCAAAATCTAGTAACGTCTATCAAGACGCGATGTGAGACACTGCAGGAGACCTGTTCCGAGAAAGACCAGAGTCTCACTGACCAGCAAGAGCACCTTCGGGAGGTCGAAGCCAAATTGGAATCGACGAGTCTGGAATTAGGAGACCTGAGGACGAGACACGGAAGAGAGATGGAGAAATTCAACTCCCTAAAGCAGACAAAGTTCAGAAAAGGGGCAGCGGTGGAAGCACTTGCGGAGATGCGAAGAAAGTTCGCTGACAAGACCGCAAGGCACGATGGACTTCTAGCCAGATATGCAACCTTAGAGGCGTATCACCAGAGCTATTCCGGGCAACTCGAGACAGCTAAAGAAGAGCATCTGGCGGACCAAGCGCAGATATCTGGACTGCGATCCCACCGCATACCGCAGCTAGAGGCCACCGAAAGGGACCTCCGATCTCAAGTAAGGGAACTCACAGAAGAAAAGAAGGAACTTACAGCTGGCCGTTTTGCCAGCGACGTGGAGGTCGGAGCAGTCAAAGTCGAAAATCAACGACTGGAGGCCACCGAAAGGCACCTCCGATCTCAGGTAAGGAAACTCACAGAAGAAAAGGAGGAACTTACAGCTGGCCGTTTTGCCAGCGACGTGGAGGTCGGAGCAGTCAAAGTCGAAAACCAGCAACTGGAGGCCACGATACAAGACCTCCGAACTCAATTGTCTGCAGCGGATGACCACGACAACGTTATGAGGAAGTCGTTCGACATTATACTGAACACAAAGGCTACCGAGGCTAATGTCTCTAGCGAAGCACATCAACGCTCGTTGCAGGCATTGGAAAAGGTCCAGGCCGTCAACCATTCACTCAACATAAGCCTCAGTGACAGTAACGAAGAGTGGCAGGCCGCGGCAAATGACAACAGCGCCCTGAAGGGGGAGAAGACCGAGCTGAGATTACAAATCTCTAACACCAAACGTCTTCTCACTGAGCGCAATACGAGGATCCAAGACCTCGTGTTGGTCGCCGAGGAGACCGAGACCAAGATCAATACTTTGGAATCTTAATCCAGTGAAAAGGACGCCACCATCACCCGCCTGGAAGATGCAGCTCCGAATGCTAGACAAAGGATTGTCGACCTCGAGTCTGACGTTGAGCAGAAGGATTCCCAGATCCAGGCCCTAAATGAAGGTCGCAATGCTAAACGCCAGAGGATCCAAGACCTCACGTCGGTCGCTGAGCAAACCGAGATGAAGATTACTACCTTGGAATCTCAATTCAGTGAAAAGGACGCCACCGTCACCCGCCTGGAAGATGCAGCTGCGAATCCTTGGATTGCCAATCTCGAGTCTGACGTTAAGCAGAAGGATTCCCAGATCCAAGATTCGGTTGAACGTTGACGGTCTCTTGAGGCCGACAACGAAAAATTGAACACCAATGTCGACGGACTTCAGGAGAAGCTGAAGACGGAGCAGGTGAGTGTCGATGATCGCTGATGTAGTTCCTTGGCTGATCGGAGGGCAGCGAGCGAACCACCGCCTCGAACAACAAATAGTGGGTGTCAACGGTCTGGATGACCAACTAAGTGCCAAGAACACAGCGGTTGCAAACGCAGAGGCCACCTCCCAGAACCTCACCGCGGAGAACGAAAGATTATCCAAGGTCCTCGGAGAAGTGAACGGGCACAATGAACTACTGAAGCAACGATCTGCTCAAGTGACTGATTCTCTGCGGACTGCTACATAATCCCATCAGAGGTCGACAAAACCGGTTGGTGATGGTCAGAAAGAGCGCGATCATCTCAAGGCCGAGGTGCAGAACTTTCGCGTGGTCGTTCTCCCAGAAAATGAGATAACCATCAACAGTCTAAAGTCTGAAGTTTGCTAAGCAGAGGCAGGAGGCTAGTGCATCTCAGAAGAGGCTCAATACGCATGTGCTGAGGCTAGAAGACAAGAATCCAGAGCAGGATACTCAGCTAAGTCAAGTCGAGCAGGACAAGACATTGCTGCAAGGTGTTGCTGTAATGCGCAGTCAGCAAGGGCCGATTTAAGAGATGCTCAAGGTACCATCGAGTCGCTCAAGGATGAAAGATACATAGTTCGAAGTCGGAACGTCGAACTGAAAGCGCTCGTCGACAAGTGCATAATTGAGCATTCAGCGATCCGTCGCCTGAGCGAAGAACAAGATCGTCTATCGGAAGAGGATGCTGACACGGTGAGGGATAGTGACAATCTCCTCACCACTGCCGACGAAACCAACACCGAGCTCGAACCCTATGTGGAGGCCTCCCGCAAGCGCGGCCATGATCAAATGATTTCCGAAGGAGAGAAAGCTTCGTCTGCAGGTCAATCCAAACGCATGGCCCGAAGGTTGGGGAAAGCACCTGAGTCAACGGCCGGCGTCACTGAGAGGGCTACCGGTCTATCCGGTCCTGGAAATCAACTGGACGACTCGGTCAGCCCAGCGAGACATGGATCGAGGGGGCAAGGCACCTCAGGTGCGGCAGGCCCAAGTATCACGATGGCGCCTTCGGATAGCGTTGCCTTTACCTTCTCGGTCAACGATGCCAAGCTCGGGAACTTCTCATCGGACGTCCTCCCAAACGAGGTTCTTCAGGCACTTCGAAGGAGGTTTGGGGAGTGGAACTCAAAGTTGGGACTAGGCTGGATCAACATGCAGGCAGTTGGAACGGGTCAAAGACCAAGTTGCATAGAGGGACGTTTAGAGAAAAAGAAGTCTATGGGATGATGGTTCCGATAATGCCTGTGCCTTGTGTGAGAGGAGGAGACGTCTGTGTATGGTGGTTCACAGCCCGGAGCGAGTGTTGTTGTTGCCTCGAAAGGCTGCAGAGGATGAAGGGAGAAAGCCCACAGATACGATGTATTAGATAAGATGATTGTCAATTCTAGTACATGCAGGAGCTGTTCCCAGCGCATCAGATAGCAAAAACAATGTTTTCGTACGAGCTGCAAGCAATTGACGCCAATCTCATTTCTTCGTCTCTCATTCGTTACTTTAACGTATTACATCGTACTAGCGAATAACTCTCAAGCCGAAGAGCTACATACCGGTACAAAGCCGGAGTACACCAAGCTGGTCCACCGGATTGAAGTTCATCAAACCGTTACTAAGCCGGCCTTCCTCACCAAATCGGAACTTCCCAAAGTCGCTACTAAGTCGAAGCTTCTCAGAATGATTATCAAACCGGCTAAGCAGACCAAGGTCAGCATCCAAATCTACTTTGTTCTTCGCTTGATCGGCCTTTGATGTTGAAATCAATACTCCTACGCCTCGAGATATACTATTTTATTGTCGCGATGGCTAGCGATGTAAATAAACAAAGACCTCTAAAGTCTAAATGGCAACTTGTACGTGGACTGATAGTCGCTCGTAATAACGGAATTGAAGTCAAGTTTTTGATTCCTTGGCGAGCATCTAAGATGAATGGCGAGAGGCCTGGACGGGGACGTAGGTGTTGGAGAATGAGAAAGAAGCCGTAGTGTGGGTCTCCGCAGTAGGGGTTCGACTGTACTTACGGAAGCAGCATATGCACGGATCTTAACGCTTGATGATTCAAAATGGCATTTTGCGAAATTCGAAGCTGGATCTCTCCCTCACCCCATCGGCGTACCCTGTCGACGTGTTCAATCGCCTCATCAAGCCGCTACACCAAGCCGCTACACCAAGCCGCTACACCGGACCGTTACCAAATCGCTACACCAGATCGCTACACCAAAAGTTTACTTCAAGCCGCTGCACCTGACCGCTACACCAAGATTTCGCCATACTAAACCGCTACATTTAACCGCTACACCGAACCGCTGCACCAAACCGCTACACCAGAAACCTACTTGCCAAACCGCTACCCCAAGCCGCCACACCAAACCGCTACACCAAGAACCTGGCTTACACAATGACTCAACCGCTGCTGGGCGTCGGGAATATCAGAGCCAAGACCATCCACTTGGCAGGGCGAGTCTGTAACAATAGCATGTCTATAGAGCAGTCTATAATGTAAAATTTAATTGATCACGGGTAAATAGGTGCTGCCCTTTCACTCTGAGGGCCTGTCAGCTTGATGTACGCGATTGAAAATTCGACATTCTTATTTTGATATCGTTGTGTTATGCAGCAAGTCTGAAAAGTAAGAGTCCTCCTTGTATTCTCTTTTGAGCAATTTGTCTCAACGCGATGGTACTCGCTTGCGGATGAAGTTTCGCAACCCTTCAATCCCCTCGCTTTTTCTGAAATGATACTTCCTCTTCTCCAACTCCTCCAGTCCAACGAATTGCTCCGGCAGCAGATCGCGGAATTGGAAATTCTTCTCATTCTCCAACGCTTGCGAAACCGCCTTGGAAAATTTTGCTGGATGAGCCGTAGCCAACGCGATGTGGGTAGTTCCCGGCGGTGGAGCGCGCTGAACAGATCTTAGGGCTGCTTCGACACCGATGGCGGAATGAGGATCCAGGATGTATTTGCCATGGTTCGTAGCGCCTGCGGTACCACTCGAGGCGTCTTCTTTGGCAGCTGGTGTCTGTGCGGAGTATTGCTGCCTGATCATTGCAATCGTCTGCTTGTTGGAGACACGCTCACTTTCAAAGTCCAGCTTTGCGGCTTCAAGGAGCTTGGGCTCGACGCCGAAACCCCCTTTTGATTTGAGCTCGTCCAGCCAGCCTTTAACCCTCCGTCCTGCTTCTGCCCTCTTTTCTTCAACGGTTTTCAGGCCTTCACCGTAGACTTGAAAAGCTAGGAACCATAGTAAGCGCTCGAAGTTGCTGCTTACAAGGATATCCATGGCGGGGCTGAACGTCTCTCGTACGCCATCCTCGTGGGCTTTGACGCCATCTTCGGCGAAGCCTCCATTCACTTGACGGCCATGAATAGGTTTCTTCTCGTAATAGCCGGTTTTCCAAAATCTATCGAGGATGTCGTTCTCATTGGTCGCCACCACGAGTTTCTCTATGGGGAAGCCCATGCGTTTTGCAAAGTACCCCGCGAGGACGTCTCTACGCAGATTTCGGTGTCAGCAAAGGCCATTCGAGGCAGAGACTGGAGTTGCAAGACAGGTCTCGGGAGTAGAAGGGTCCTTTTGCTCCCGAGACATGTCATGTGACTCGATCTTACTACCGATTAGGAAGAAACAGCTCCGAAATGTACGAACCCAAAGTTGCCTGTGGGAACTACGAAGCGAACCTTGGAGCTTGCGTTGATCCTTCCGTCTCGAAGGAGTCGTCCTAGCGAAAATGCGTAGTAGGATCTGTATGAACGCGGATTCAGCATCTCGCTTTGCCAGGTGACAACGCCTTGTTGGGTTGACGCTGAAATGAGCGAGAGAAAATGGAAAACCCTCCAGTCCAATAAGATGGAATCCGGCAGGAATGCTGAAAATGAATGCCAAACTGTACGTACATCTGTGCCAATATACGAGCCCAATTAATCGAATTGACGGCAGCGAGCTGATGAGTCCTCTTGATCTCAGCGTCTCCGAACAACTCTTTGACGAAGTCTTGACAATCGTCAAAGCTGCCATCAACGGCCACATTGTGCACGTTTTGGTCCAAGCTATTAGAGGTTTCGGAGTCAGCGTTTCTTCGTCAATGTATTAACGGAAGAAGGAGACAGGCTCAAGAAACAAAAAGAACGATCTTGTGCCGAGAAATTGCCTCGACCCCTATCTTCTTTTGGCTTGAAAAAGAACATCCTTTGAGCACTTACACTGATGTCATCTGCGCTTCCTGTACCGGTGAGACCTTTCCTTCGGGAAACATTATCATAATATCGACCTGCGTATTTCAGAGTCAGCATGAATCATATAAGCTACAAGACTGGGTGACAAGATAGGCATGGGGAGCAGGATAAGCCCTCTGCATGCGAAACGCAACCGGCGGCTTAGATTTACGGCATTGGTGGAAGGAAGGCCCCGAAACATGGACTTACATCCTTCTTAGATCGAAGACCATAAATGGCCGCAGATCCAGTGTCACCGCTCGTTGCTCCGACTACAGTTAAGTGTTCCCTTGTTGATTCGGGTTTGTCCCCATTTTTACGAACAAGGAAGTACTCAAAAAGATTGCCAAGTAATTGTAGAGCAACATCCTTGAAAGCGAACGTAGGACCGTGGAAGAGCTCAAGCAAATACAACTGCTTCTCTTGATCCAAAGTCACCAAGGGAGTGACATCAGGGGCACGGAAAGTCGAATACGACTTGTTGACAATTTCCTTAAGATCTCTCGATGGAATTTCATTGGGGTCGATGTAGAGAGCGAAGATCTCGAAAGCTAGTTCTTCAAAATTCCTACCAGGAGGTCAGCGTTAGTGGATTTTATCAGCGATTCAAACGTAGGAACGTGCCAATCTGTCCAAAGCCCTTCCCAAATTGCGGGCATTGACGGAACCTCTTGGGGTAGAAATAGGCCGCCTCAACATCCCTGTTAGCTAAGCAGGAAACAAGAGCCATATGAAAGGAGAGGACCAACCATCTGAAGCAAGGCCAGTGATGACAACCTCTTCGAAAGAACGCTGTGAGACGTATGAGCAAAGCGTGTGAGACGGACGTTTGGGTAAGACGTGCATTTTGATCATGGGTACCCCCTCTGGATGAGAGATATCTTGTCGCCATTGAGTCAGGACTTTCGTATATCCTTCTTATAAAGCCATATGCAAGGTATGCTCAGCCTCCAGATCTCAACGACGCTGAGAACTAGAATGTCGAATTTTTACGTTGTATGTCCATGCCTATTGGTCGCCTTATAGGGCTGAATTAGTTCTCGAACATTGCGGTCAGTCTACCTTAATAACATCTCTCCCTCGTCTCATCTCTCAGGTCATTCCATTTTTGCACACTTTTGTGGCTATCAACCAGAATGAGTTGAGTGTTCTTCTCGAACCTCCCTGAACAAAGGATATCCGGAGCAGGAAATACAGCTTCCCTTCACTTAAATTGATAGTATGCCCGTTACAATTGTCGCGGCAGCGCACCTCTCGACTTTACAAACTCTGGGATTGACTCTATGCGATCTTTGCTACATTCTCTTTCTGATGGGCTCTGGGAATACAACCAATGTCATGGCGCTCCCTTAACTTATCCACTTACTGCTTCGGCTTTGGCAGACGGCGCTTTCATCAAGGAAGTCCCAATGGACTTCGATTGGTATCATCATCGGTCAGTGCTGAATTTGAAGATGTCTTCCTGTCGATGCGTACATTTCGCTTTAACAGTCCTGAGGGTTTAGACGCATTTGTTGGTCACTTGACGGCTTATCAGTTGAGCCGGCTGCATTCCATTGCAATCGGATTGACCGTTTGCTTGGCCACCTCCACAAGGGTAAGGTTGGGCTCATGGCGCGTCTGCCGACTCGCTTGCAATATATAAACTTCCGGGTTTATCCCGCTCACAATGGCCGGTTTGGAATGGCAAGAACTATCCCGGGCCTATCTTATGATCGTGACGTTGACCAAGAAGAGTTCGACTTACTCGATGCCCTAGTTAGGTAGGCTGGTCAGAGTGCTCCCAGCTCGAATGACTACCTGCGGCGTAGCAAAAGAGCACCCGCTGTCTATACGATGGCAAGTTGCTGTTGATGCTATCATAGCCAATGGTCAATTGCACTGGCCAACAGCTTGAGCGATCCAGCTACAGGATGTCAGCTGATATCGCTGTCTTCATCTTTGGTCTCCGTACAGTTCTTGCACGATAGTGGACATTATTTTGAATGACTGGAGAGTCGATCTTACGCGCTAGAAATTAGTTTTTCAAGGTTTCTAACGCCCAATTCTCAAGCATGCGCTTCTGACTGCGCATGGAAACTGTACCATGACCTGATGCAGGGCTCTTTCCAATTGTCATGACAATCCTTTTCGCACCAAGGAATTGGAACTTTGAGTCGCCAATGATTCTGCCTCCAAGCGCAACGGACCCTGCCACCGCTGCATTGGTCATATGAAGTCTTCGAATGCGAGAATTCATGATTGCTGAGATGGCAGAAAACACTCATTCGAGGCTCTCAAGGATTCAGATGACTTTGGTGGCTCCAATCCTCAATTGACAGCCCGAGAGCAGTTTCAGACTGCATGAAACTGCACCACACGGAATCCTCTACCTCCAGAACTACCATCTCAACGCCTCCAGGCCCCTCTCCGTTCCCCTTTGCCCTCGCACATCACCACCCTCAGACTACACATGGCCTGCCGGCTGGACCTTCACCGTCACGCCAGGCCCAATCCTCATGCCGATCGAGCTCGGCGCGGACATCCTAGATTCATTCTACGGGCAAGTCATGGCTTACGCAGCGGCTCGGATACTCGCGAATGCCGCCCCACTAGCCGCTGGCGTCGACATAGCTGACGGGCCCTTGGTGCTTGACTTCCTGGTGGTAGATGGGGCTAATTCGCATGGTCTGGAATGGAGCATTGTGTACTGGTTTGCGGCTTATATGCAGGCCATGGCAAGGAGAGGATACACTGGGCTGGGGAGTGTGACACTCAGGCACGAAAATGGGTGGGTGCTCGATGTGACATTGAGGCTGGCGTGGAGTGTGAGGGTTGGTGGAGGATTGTAATATTCAAAGTACCTGGACTCATTTGATTTTGCCCTCAGTTGGGTGATGATGGTCTGAAACGCGTCTGAAGTACGCGATACCTATCTATGATACAAGTATGCATGCGTATTGATTGGAACCTTAGTCCCTGAAGAGTTTGTACAGTAGGGGAAGGAGCTCTCCTTGCTGCTGTGGTGGCTCGAATTCTAGCCCCTAACACCTCTCCAGTAGAATGAACACAGCACCCTGGAATGGGCACCAAGAAGTGAAAACGCCTCCCTCGCTATGCGGTAGTATGGAACGCCGTAGTTGTTGAATTCTGTTCATGCTTTGGGTATCTTGCCGCGCAAAACCTTTTCCATGCATATAAGTGCGCCAGATACACCTCGCTATGCTTCGTCACATTTCCCTTGCAAACGCCGAAAAGATTAGTGTCGTGCCGCCGTCTTCCTCTTTTGTCCTCGATGAGAGTCCCCTGGTCGCGACCCTGGCATAGGTGGATAGCCATAGGTCTCGGCTTTTTTCTCCTCTTCAGGATTTCTTCCGCCCGGTGGTGCTGTTATGACGTTGCCACGTCGGACGAACGGTACCTGCACGGGCCCATTAGAAGGCAATGTTGGAGGGATGGGGAACCCAACGACAGGGATCCCAGCAGGAGGAGGGCCCCATGGTTGCATCTGAACAGGAGCCCCGTAAAACCGGTTGATGCCTTCCTGAATCTCACGATCTCGCTTTTCCTTGATTGCATGGCTCTCAAGCTGTTGGTAGAACCTCAGTCTAGCTTGGCTCTCTGCCAATGGTATGATCGTGTTGAGCACAGGCTTCGCAATAGCCATTAGACGCCTCAATTCTGCTGCCAGTCGCTGCCCCTCTGCTGATGCGTAGAAGAGCTGCTTCGTAGTCCCACCAGGGTGACCGCGCCAATCTTTGTAGAGCATGATTTGGTCAATGATCCTGCTGACCTCCGTCTGGACCTGAGCGTCTGTTTGAGACGATGAGCTTCTGGAAGGAGAACTCATTCTTGTGTTCTTGTTTGGTGTTGGAATCTTGCCACCATTGCCCACGGCGAGTAACCAATCAATGTTTTCCCTAGAGGTAAAATCTCCAAGGCGTTCACCGGTAAAGAGTTTATGGTTCTCAGCTGGGGGGACGATATTTTGGTTGTCAGTCTTTGCTGGCATCAAGTCATCGTCTGTCAAGTCATCGTCTGTCAGATCATCATCGCTGCGTGTCTCATCCTCTCCTCTGCTGTTGCCCTGCTTGTCGGCATCATCGACGTCGGTTTCGTCCAAGTCAACAACATTACTCGCTTCCTCTTTTTTATTACTGACGCCTTGGCCAGGAGCTTCGTTGCATGCTTTGCTTGTCTCCTTTTTTTCATTGCTGACGCCTTGGCCATCATTTTCCTTACTTGCTTTGCTTGCATCCTCCTCTTCATTGCTGATGTCTTGGCCAGCAGCTTTATCGTTCTCTTTTTTGGCTTCGGTCGTAGCTCCGATGATATCCTGGAGTGCTGTATGAGCTTCCTTGTTGTCATGTGGTGTCTCATGACCATCATGCGTGTTGGCTTGATTGTCACCGCTACCGACAGATCCAGATCCACTGGCTTGATTGGGGACCATAGAATTGGCATATGGTGAGGCATAATTTGCAGGAGGCTGGTTCACAGGATTGGAGTAGGGGGAGGCATAGCTATCCGGATGGGTAGCCAAAGGAATGGCATAAGGCGAAGCATAGTTGTTAAGATTCGCACCCACAGGAAGGCCGTGCGCCATTCCATAGGTGGGATGGTCAGAATATGGAGGACCATTTGCAGTTCCATAGGTATTCATATGGCGCTGGCCAACAGGATTTGAAATCATGCTGCCGCTGGCATAGGGTGTAACAACGTCCATGCCAGCCTCACCTTGTTGGATCTGGACTAGAATCGTTGTTGCCGCATCGAGCGCTTGGATGGCTTCTTGTGATCGTTTTTGTTTCTCTGGATGAGACAGATTAGTCTGTGGAGCAAGGCAGCAGTAGCACAAGCGACATACCATGGTTCTCGCTGTCCATTGCTTTGTTTTTGGTTGTGGCCTTAAACGAATTCTCTGCGTCAGTTATAGAGGTGCCTGCACGACTTGTGAGATCAGACGTTTCGGTAACGGTCGTAGCCCCAGAGGTTTCCAACCCAGTGGATGGACGAGACTCATCAGCATTTGAGGCTTCCCATTGAAGGGGATCATCTTTGCTGAAGAGAAAGTTGATGAAAGCCATGATTTCTGATGATGATGCAAGCAGTTTCACAGCGGAAAGAAATGGAGCATCATCTTTTCTTTCCTCAAGAGCCGACTTCAGGACCGCAGCAGAGTTACGGTTGGCCGAATCGCCAATGTCAACAAGGGTATTGAACAGAAGCTTCCCGCAAGCATTCCGCTCAATAACACCAGTTGACATGTCTGTCGAGACTGAAGGTCCAAACAGTCTTTGTTTGAGCTCGTCGTTCAAGTCATCTTTCAACTGCATCTCTATAGGTGCTGCATCTCTCGGCCTCAATAAATTTCCTACTCCAGCAACAAATTTGCCGCTCAAGTCTACAGTCGGTAATAACATATTAGCTGCTATATCCACTTAAGATTGGGTACTGTTGGCTGCCAGCACAGGAGCAATACAGGAATACAAGAGAGAGACAAGCTTATACCATTTGCAGGCTCTTTCGCCTTCAATTGTTGCAATCTCTTTTTTTCTTTGCCTCTCGTCATGCGAACATCCTCTACATTGTCTCGCGCATCAACCATTTCTATATCATGTTCAGGTTGTGGGTTAGAATCTTTCTGCCCTGACTCGGATACTGCTGTTGTAAGACTCTTGTCTGAGATTTTGCGGATTAATTGCGCGACCCAGATGGCTAGATCACCTATATCACTTGGTTTATCTGTTAAGTCAAGGTCATGGCCAGCATAGGACTGTTGATTGTCATCGGTAAAGCCGTTCGGACGAAAAATCGCTTTTGCATGCGAAGGGGAGGTATGATCTGTTGGAACGGATTCGAAGCCCGTGTTGGTGATGAGGTTCTCGTTCTCCAATGTTGCTGATCCATTGACCAATTTTCTAATGCTTTTGCAACGCGAACCACGCTCCTTTACTGATGTGTCTGGGACCAACATGTCTTGAGCCGACATCCTCCTATTTTTGAGAGACCCTGATGCCGGCGATGCAGTTGTGGACTTGTCTTCGATATCTGGTGTACGTGATGGAGCGGCACGCTGTCCCAGTGCTATGCCAGAAGCCGACTTGTCTTCCTTTCCCAGACCTTGCGATGGTACGTCCTTCTTTTCTTCTTTTTGTGCTTTTCCAAGATCCTTCTCTTCATCAGTCCTCATACTAGCAGATATCACATCTATCCTTCTCAGCTTAGGCTTGGGCTCGTCCGCTGTGGTCTCGTTCACCAAGTCACCAGCTGGCTTTGCATGGGACCTCCGAGTCCCATACGTCTTGGGTCGGGGCGCCATGGCTTTGATGTCTTCAGCTTGTGATGGGTCGCATGTCCTCCCTAGGTAAAGGTAGGCATCTCTTAGACGTGTGTCATTAAAGTTGTGTTGGGAGTGAGCGGACTATTAGTGGAATGAGTTGAAGTTCACACTTACCGAGACTTAGGGCTTCTGCAACATGAGACTGATCTGCTTCGACAGTTGATGCAAGTCCAGGAGAGCTCCTGGAGTGTCGCTCACAGGCAGAACTTAGACCCGAAGGACTAGGGCGTTCAAAGAGGCATTGTGAAGGTAGGTTGATGGGGGTGAAAGAGACGTCAAGACGACGGAGTGCCGTTAACAGAAGAAAAGGCCTCGCTTAGGAATTTTAGCTCCGCTTGTCCTCCCCAAACATTTCTACGTTTTACTAGACTATTGGTAGCTCTACTTTGGCTTAGCAACTTGAATCATGCGAGTGGAGATCTTACTGCATCAGCAGCAAAGAAACTGCTTTGGTTATTTTGCTATATCAAGCACTTTCTGAGGAAATAAACACTCTCTTGGACAGAAAAGGTAGACACCGAGAGCCCGAAGTTTACCCATTGGCTCCGTCTTGGCACATTTGCGATCGGAATTGACAGGTCTCGCAGGTGTGTCCTTCCAGCTCTGTCTTTTACATACACAACTGCACAGAACAACATGCGACTACCGAATCAGCTACTGTCTTCTCTTCTGGTCTTATGCGCTGCATCTCTCGGTGTCGCAGCCACATGGGGGTTTGAAGATGCCACAGTCTCCGTGAATAAGAGAGGAGCTGGGGTAGGGGGAGGCTTCAAAGAAAAGTACGGATTGTCTTTTTCGCAAGCTTTATCGGACACTCAGACTGATCATAACATCCAGGATCGGACAAAACAAAGCTTTGTCGAAGCCTGTCACTCTAGGAGCATCAGAGACCCTCAAGATCCTCCTGACAACCAAAGAGGACAACAAAGCCAAAAGGCCGCATCAAGCATTCCTTCTGGTCCAAGATCCCCAGAGCAAATTAGACACATCCTTCGCATTTCAGGTCAAAGAGAATGGGAAGGGCAAGATTGAGCTCGTATGGCCCCCAACACAGCAAAGCTTTCACGGTTGACCCTGAATTACAGACCCAGAAGGACCTCCCAACTCAACTACTATCCTCAACAGGACCTCTCGATGCGTCACTGATCATTGCATCGTTCGGCTCATCAAAGCCATACAACGGCAAAGCCTTCGATCTTACCATCGAGCTCGACTCTGGCTCTCCCTTACCCGCCTCTGAGAAGCCTTTGCGCTATGGAAAGCTTCCGGAGATCCACCATATATTCAAGTCAGACCCGAAAAGCCCCCCAAAAATCATTACACTGGTATTCGCAGCAGCTGTAATAGCGGCTCTGCCCATCTTGCTAGGCGCTGTAAGTACAAACATTGCTAGGCCCAAATTTGCTGCTAATGAACTTTTGTGTAGTGGATATCACTCGGCGCAAATCTCAACCATTTCTCTAAAGCTTTTAGCAGCTCCCCAATCCCACACGCGCTGTTCTTCAGCTCCATCTTGGCTATGGAGGGCGTGTTCTTCATGTACTACACGTCTTGGAACCTGTTCCAGACACTACCACCAGCTTTTGGCATAGGATTGGTAACCTTCCTCAGCGGAAGCAGGGCATTGCGCGAGGTACAAGGACGGAGAATTGCCGGGCTGCGGTGAGATAGAACTGGCCAGACCAGTCAAAAAGAGTCCGGGAAGCTGCTGGCTCGATTTGTACACTACCATATATCAGGTCTACGGAAGGGAACTCCATCCGGTTCATTGGGGGTTTGCTACCTGATCGTGACAATTGTATCATCACCGACAACATAAAAGTGTCAAGCCTGCAAAGGAGATTTCGGGTTGATGGATGTACTGTGCAGGCATCCTCTATGCTAGTATGATAGCTCCCCAAAAGTTATCACGGCGGCTTGCCTGCAGGCGCGACGTTAGAGAACATTTTTTTTCGATTCAGCCGTGATAGCATCGCTCTAATGCAACCAAATGGTCTTGCTCATGGCACATGAAGAAAGCTCCTATCCGCAAGGCCTTGATACCTATTCCCTCAGCACTCTCGCACCAACCTTACCTCCTCCCCTCAGCCTGCATTTCCTTATGTGCCTTCCACTACACCATTTCAGAGTAAGCATCTCTCTTTTAAGACAGATTCATGAATTTGAAGACATCTTTGGGGAGCAGGGGCCTGTTTCTTGCTCCTCAGACATGTCTTGGTGCTCGAAAAAGGATGTGAAAGGTGAAGAAATTACTTAGAAGGGGTGCTTACATGTCCCTCTGCTCTCTTCCACCCATTCCTAACATTATACGCCCCCACAGCCGCGACCCCCAAACTAATCAAATCCATCTTCCTAGCTTGCATCTTCTGTTTCTGCGCTTCTGCACTGCTTATTTCCCCCTCCTCGAGCTCCTTCTGGCGTGTGTGGTGCGCTTTTGCCGATTGATAGATGTTGTTTGCAGCGGCAATGGTGGCGACGCAGGCGAGACCTGTGTAAAGGAGTTGTTTTGGGGGCGGCTTTGGCTGCGCTTTCTTTCCGCCGCCGTCGTCCGAAGAGGAGTCGCTGTCGCTGTCGTAGCGTCTGCGAGGGCCGTGAGGGCCGTGAGAGCGTGATCGTAGGGGTCCCATGGAGCGAGAGCGGTCTGGAGGGTTGACGAGGACTGGGCCAGCGCGGACTACTGGGAGGTCTTTGTTGTAATGTCTGCGGCTGCGGATTCGATGCGGGCTTGAGCCATCGGTGTCGGAGTCGACTTCAGAATCGGATTCAGAAGAATTGCGCCTATGGCGACCTGGAGGAGTTAGGAGGGCACGGATAGCTACGGTGGATCCAAGAATACCTTTGTTGGCGACCACCACTTCACGACGTTGCGGGTTGGCAGATCTGCTTGGGCTACGGGGCTGCCTCGGAGACGAATCTCGACGCCGTCTCGGTAAATCGTCGATCTCTACAATTCGGTGCTCGCGTGAGAAGCCAGGACCACGGGAGATACGTTCCCGATCAACGATTATCTCTGCTGGCGTATCCTTTGGGTTGAGATACTGCTGACGAGCGAAAGGCCTATCGTGCCATGTCTGGACGTATCCTTTGCGATCTGTTAGGTCAGGACTCATCGAATAGGCGGTAGAGCTCACCCTCATCCTTGTTGTGCCTTGTCTGGACGTATGCTTTGCGATCGGTTAGGTCAGGACCCATCGATTAGGCCGTTCAGCTCACCATCATTCCGGTCTGGCATTCTGATCGGTCGAGAAGAGAGAAACTCGGCAGGTGAATAGTGAACGTGACGGAGAAATCAATTCAATCCAGTCAACATAAGGAGATCAAAACCAAATGAGAAGTCGCCACGCAAAAGGGTTCTGACCAGGACGCAGAGAATGAGAGGGAATATAGGTAAGAGAGCATTGGGGACGAGGCTGAGCTGCCTCAGGTCTGTACCGCTTTACGTTTCATCTCAGGAATATAGCGGTAAAACACTACTACGTGTATGAGAATAAAAGCGCTCTTGTTGAACGGGTAGGATTCATCCAACACGATCCTTTAGCTCCTCCCCGCAACTAAGACAAAGATGAGAGGTTTGAAACGGGTCAATTGATCCTCCTGGACGTGTACTGCCTGGCTCGATTTGGTAGTCTTTGCGCAGCGAAGTAGTCAAATGCTTGTAGTTTGGACGCCCACTGTAACAGTAATTGGCTCTCAGACGATTTGACAAGAAAGCCTTCGAGAGCGAATTGCGCATGCAAATACCTGATGCAGATGGATCGAAGAAGGTCGCTCAAAGCCTGGAAGGAGTTGAAGGAACCCGCGCCAAGCCGCCTGCGGAGTTGCTGACCTCATGCCGCAACTCGACCAGTCTAAAGTTTCCCTCCAAGCTATAAATCCTTCTCATTTCAACTGCCTTTGATCATCAGTGCCATCTTCAATGGGATCGTCTACTTCAAAAGCAGCCAAAACAGCTGCCGGCGCAGCTAGACGTCAATATCCCCAGCGCGTCTCACCTCCGCCAACGTCCAACGCCCCCTCCGCACCCCCTCCTCCAGCAGGCCAACCTACAGCTCCAGGTCCAACTGTACATCCTCGATCACAGGCCAGCAACACACGTGATGAATGTAGGCTCTCCTTTCTCAATTCTCTACTTGAAGCGAAACTGACACCGCCCATTAGCCATCAACCTCGATGCCTCTGACCCAGACTTTGCACGATCCCTCCGTTCTCTCGGCCCAGTCCAGCCCAGCTCAACTCTCTCGAACTCATCAACCTTCAGTCCCTCACCATCTCCCCCATCTCAAGGCCCTAGAAGCTCCCCAAACCAGTCACATCCACAAATCTTCCCCGACCCTAGCAAGAATCCTGCCCTGATGGTATTGACCGCGCGAGAGCGTCTACAGCAGCAGGCGGAGGTCGAATTTGCGAAGACGGGGAGGGGCCATGGAGGGAAAAGCTTCCTGGATGTTTCTACGATACGGCAGCTACTTGTACTAAGAGATGAAAGGGGGATGGGTGGAGAAGAGATTGAGAAGAGGTTGGGGCTGGCAAATGGTGTGGTGGGGAGACTGGGACCGAGGGGTGTCGTTGGAGACGTGAGAATCGGGAAAGTTGACAAAGATGACGCTGGAATATATGGATGAGGCGTTTTAGCATTCGCCCTTTATGCGGTGGTCTGCTCCACCAACGAGCTCCGAGGGTTACCAGCTTGCGTGCCCGCCATCTATCCTCATGTCGGCGCCTGTCATATATGAGCTTGCCGGGCTGAGGAGAAACACAGCGGCGCCTCTGAAGTCTTCTGGTTTGCTCAGCTTGCCGAGCATATTCTGCGCTGGCCACTCAGTTCGCCGCTCGGGGTAGAGGCGGAAAAGCTCTTCGACCATCGCGGTGACGATGTAACCAGGAGAGATGGTGTTGACTCGAATGCCATACTGGCCCCACTCTGAAGCCAAGTTCTTGGCTAGCTGGAGCACACCTTGATGGTTTCGGAGTCAGCTTTACTCTTTCCGGAGGAATTTAACTCGCGAGACATGTCTTAGGAGCAGAGAACTCTTTTACCGGCTTTTGATGCGTTATAGGCTGGACAGATGAGACCCTGGATAATTCAGCCTGGCGCATCAGAGCGATGGCTCCGGGAAGAACGACATACTCGATTGGCAACGTGCGCACTCATAGATGCAATCATGGCGATACTACCTCCGTTGCCAAATCTTATCATCTGTTTCGCTACAGCTTGCGCTGTCATAAATACGCCGGTGATATTGATCTCAAACATCATATTTGCGTCCTTGGCTGTATACTCCAAAGCTGTTGTCTCTTGCTGAATCCCTGCTGCCGCAATCAGCCCATCCATCCGTCCATGCTTGTCGCCTATGCTCGCAACGATTTTGTTCAAGCCGTCGACATCTCGGACATCAATTTGCCGGTAATAGAAAGTTGTTCCCAATTCCTCTGCTGCTCTTTTCTGCACGCGGTAGAAGTCCGGGGAAGGTTCTGGAAGCCGATCAAGCGCGTAGACTGTAGCACCAGCTTCGAGCAATGCCTCTGCTTGGGTGAGACCAAGGCCACGTGCAGCCCCTGACACGAGAACGACTTTATCTGTAAGATTAAACTCGGGTAGTCGTTTGGTCGTGCCTAGGAAGCTTGCTGAGGCCGTATTCTTTTGCATATTCTCTCCTTCTTGTGGTGGAGGAGCTGGAGGCTCACGGCCGGGTGTCTTGGGCTCATTGCCGCGTGGTGGATCTTCTAATGTGGAAGTTTTTCCAAATGCGTGGCTTGTCGACAAAGGTCGTGAGATTGGAGGAACGTGTACTTTGACAAGCCTTAACGCACAAGGTAATCGGCGTGCAACAGCAGTCATACTCAGGACAGATGATGTTGAGGCTCTCCAGTTGATGCTGCATCAGCCCGATTTCCAAAGGGTTTGCAGAAGACAAATCGCTGCTGTCAAGGACGATTGACCGTAAGAAGCCAGCAGACGTTTGAAGTAACTGGAAAAAGGAAACAAGAGGAAGTCTGCACGATAGGGTTTTGTGATTGACAGCGAAATGATACAAGATACACCAATGAAGAAGACCTTCTGGATGTTGTATTTACTTTATCTAGGGGAAAGACGTCACCGAGGCAGCGGGGTAAGAAACGGCACGAATGTGAGACCAGAAGAATGGGATTCCATACGCGAACGATAGCGAACTCCCGATGCAAAAGGCGAGAATCTGAGACAGATGGGTCGAAGGCTTCAATTGACAATATGATACGTGTATCAAAGAAGCTGATTATGCAGCAAAATGCAACCAGAGTTCTCGGTTTCCAGTTTCCGTAGGGCGTTGAAGCGTTGTCCCGCCATTAGTTTAGCTCATCTCTCGCGTGCGTGCCACGAGTAGATATACCTCTAATAGTTTCGCCTTTCTCTTATGAAAACATTGAATTCTAACAGCGTTAAAATCCCAGTGAAAAGAAAATAGTTGTATGTAGATGCTTTTGTAATCCGATTTTCAATTGTAAAGCTGATACCTGGATTTGGAGAGGGGGGCGTCAGATCTTCAATGCCAAGAATCGAAAGGAATTATGCATACGCTAAATTTCTGTTAGGTCGCAAGGCTCTTATCAGAGGCTTGGACGGATAAAGTAGCTGCAGCTTGAGCAAGAATCGCCCGTGATTATCGCTTCACGATGGGATTCTGGCCTTCAACTGACACTGTCAGTCGGCTTCGCTCCTCGACAGAATCGACAGAATGGAAGACTCGACAGCCACCATGAGCAAGCCAACCTGGCAAGAGGTTGCAAAGGTAGCACAAAACCACCGAGATGATAGCATTCGACGCGTCGAGCCGCCAATCCCTGAGGTTCCAGACCCTGATCAGTTACCTCTTGATCGTACAGATGTCCCAAAGTACTTGCTTTCAACTGAAGAAACTGTCATTACTCAGACAGCACCTGAGGATCTTGTCGCCTCTCTTGCTTCAGGGAAATACACGAGCACTACCGTGACAAATGCATTCCTGCGACGGGCTGGCCTTGCGCAAGCTCTAGCTAATTGTATCACCGAGCTCCTCCCAGAGCAAGCGATGGCCCGAGCCAAGTTTCTTGACGAATACCTCTCTAAGCATGGAAAGCCAATTGGCCCTTTACATGGTCTGCCAATCAGCGTCAAAGAGCATATTGGAATGAAAGATTTGGGATTGAACGCAGGATTCGTTAGCTGGTGGGATCGAAAAGGGGAGGATGATGCGCTTGTCTTGAAGATCTTAAACAACGCCGGCTGTGTGTTCTACGCTCGCACGACCCAGCCTCAGACCTTGATGCACCTCGAGACGTCTAGCAACCTCTATGGAGTGACTGTGAACCCTTTTAATAGTCAGCTGACTCCTGGTGGTAGTTCAGGGGGCGAAGGAGCCCTGCTTGCATTGCGAGGGAGTTGTCTAGGTCTCGGGACAGACATCGGAGGCAGCATCAGAAGTCCTTCGGCAAATTGTGGAGTATACGGATTGCGACCATCAAGCTACAGGATACCGGTAAGCGGATGGTCCGCCACAATGCTTGGCCAGGAGCAGATTATTGCGGTCCTTGGACCCCTGAGTACTTCACTTGAAGGAGTGAAGCTGTTCATGAAGACAGTAATCAGTGGAAAACCCTGGCTGAACGAGCCATCATTGGTCCCACTCCCTTGGAGAGACCAAGAAAGCTACCTTGATAAACCTTCTGGGAAGAAACTCAAGGTTGGAGTCATATGGCACGATGGCGTTGTCAAGCCGCATCCACCTGTCCTACGGGCATTGCAAGAAGTGGTGGACAAGCTCAAAAATGTGCCCTCGGTCGAGATTGTTGAATGGAAGCCATATAAGCATGACGAAGCTTGGAGCATCATTTCCAGTCTGTATTTCTGTGATGGAGGTCAACAAGAGACTGCTGCCATCGAAGCGTCGGGCGAGCCGTGGCGACCGTTATCCAAGTTCATCCTGAAGGACAACCCATGGGTGAAGAGGCTCACCGTTGAGGAGATTTGGCACTGGACTACGGAGAGAGAAACTTACAAGACAGAATACGCGAAAGTTTGGAACGACACCGCGACTGGAACCAGCGAGACCGGTGAGCTCGAAGGCGTCGTTGATGTGATCCTCTGCCCCGTAGGCCCAGGGGTGGCTCCTCCACTGGACTGTGCAAGATATTGGGGCTATACGGCCCAATGGAACTTGCTCGACTATCCAGCGCTAATCTTTCCAGTGACAAAAGTAGACCCAACAATGGACGTGG